CTATACTTATGTGGGATATAACAGTAGATAGGTCCTATAGTTCCTGACTTAGTTATTTGGACTGTAGGAACGTTTTAATAGTGAAAAACATTTAGGTCTAACTGCAATATAGCACTCACAACTGATCAGTTGATGAAAACTCACTGAACAGGATCAAGCTTGTGTAATCAATAAATGATACCCAAAGTAAAATTTCTATAACATGGAATGTCGTCGCGCAAGCGTCACATGAGATACAAAATATTTCAGTAAGAGTGGCTGGTATTCTGTCTATATGGCTGCAAAAACAGATGGACTCCAAAGCATAAGTTGAAGAAATATGCGGGCCAACACATGTACTAACATCTAGGAAGAAAAGATAACTGAAGTACTATTGCAAATACTACAACTGCGACTCGACAAGACGTTCGTACATAGGTAACTCAACATTATGCTTTTATATAATAGCATGAAGAATAAGGCAAAGCGATGCAGAAACTAAAAGATAATGACTAACTGAACTTGTAATAGAAAGATTTGGAAACATTTGGCTTACACAATTTGATGTCACATGATCAGCTTTTAGTTCAAAAGATCCGTATCCAAGCACTAATGTAAAGAACTAATCTCCATTACTGTGGTCACTAATAAGGTACATAAGGAGAACGAGAATGCTCCCTATCTTAGCTTCAATCTGTCAAACTACACGGTCACAAAAAGGCATCTTAGTTCGCGACATGGCTACTAGAATGGTAAAGGTTAACGACGAACGCCCGTCACGAAATAGCGAGGGATATTATTCAAAGATCTATTCTCTATCAAGTACCGCGAGCTAGAAATGCACCTTGGAAATAAAATTCAGGGTTATGTTGAGGGTAAAACGCATGCCACACTTTGAAAAAAGGGCCCGACGTTAGCACAAAAACTCTGAAGGATCCTGATTGTAGCTCTAACTTTGCTCAGGGTAATAGACTTGTAGTGTAGTGCTTCGTTAATCGATCGTCTTGATAACCGTTATTATAACAATCTGAACGGTGTATAATATCAGAAGACAAAGGGAAGCAGCAACTACATTTTTATTGATAACTAACATGGGCTAGAAGGCAGTGAGCACATTAGCAAATGTAAGCAAGCGAAGGAAAGATGACGCAGAGTGGAGATGGCTGGGAAGCCAACTCGTTATAAGCAAGCGTTAATCAACATTTATAGTCAGACTAAAATGAATGACAGACATGTGATAGGTAGGATAAGAAGGGTGCATACACATACGCTAATATAAAAAAATAGTCAAGGTCAATAAGCGAATAATTAACAAGATCAAAATATGACTCATAACGTTATAGGTGAATTGGCTTGTCCAGAAACTAGAATAGGCTATGTAGGTGTAATATAGTACACGACGTTACACTACTCCCCACATAGCTCCCCCCCAGAGTGTCCGGAGGAAACACTGTTATGCAAAATAAACAAGGGGGAGGAGGTGTATATGCGTTCACAAACCAAAATTAAAGTATTAGCACATTAATTTGAAAATAACGCTGAAATGGCATGTAAATAACGTTAATAATATGTAGAGAAAAAAATTGTACTATATCGAATAAGTTACAGTGTCAATCGAGGGGCGAGTTTATTAAACGAAAGTGTCACACTTATGTGAAAATGTACATGAAAATTGTCAAAATGAGGACAGAAATGGAAATGTTAGCATGTGATTATGAGTAAGCGTACAAAAAATTTAACATGCATTTATGTCGTCACTGTCCGGATGATAAAATAACATGTTTGTATGAGCGATTCGAAATATCGTGAAAATAGAGCAATAAATTGTTTATGGGTATGACAGCGGAATAAATCGTGGAAATAAGTAATGTAGAATATAATTAAAATTGGTCTGTAGTGCCAATTGAATATGAGAATGAAGAACAGTGAAATATGATGTTCTGATAAGTCGCAGTAGAGTAAATAGAGTCGCTTAGCGATGAGTGTATTCGAATTTACATAACTGAAGTTTATGTGGGATAAGAAGTAATCCAGCCGTAGGAAGATGACTGCATCAACGGGTGGTATTCATTGCTGTACTGCAATTGATTATGATAATAAAATGTGAAATCAGCGTGCGCTAACGCTTGCGTTGAGTTATCGTTAAATATGTATTAGTAGAATGACCAGAGGAACAGAATAGTGACTGCTTAGACGAGATATGCGGAGTCGTATTCTTTTTTGGTCTAGAAGCCTAGCGTGGTTTGTGTAGTTAGAGGGATATGCGCTCAACCTCATTTGTTACGAAACCGTTTTAAGGCATGATAAAAATACCAATACATATGATTGTCGATGACAGCGAGTGAGACTGACTTGAATGTGACGAACAAGAGTGTATCTTTGAGAGACTAGCTCTAAACTCTATGTTCTGGTGTATAGTGCAATGGAAATAGGATATTAATTGCAGCGATCGAATAGCGATTATCGGTAATGAATGATGCAGCATTCAGATATAAATGTGAATAGATAATATGAAAATAATCATTACTAATCGGCTGGTAATGCGGCGTCGAATACTCGATTTGTGTATAAACATTAAAGTAGGGATCATCGTGAAACAAAAATTGCGAAAGTTCGGTTTAGATTGTCGCTGAAAATGTAGGAAACGACGGTTGCTGCGTACCAATGAAATGAATGAACATTAGTTGTCTATCGAGAACATAAGTTCCTACTATCGGGAGTATGACTCCAAACTTATGTCTATGATAGAGTGTTATCTTAGACCGAAAATGACATGAAAAAAAAATTGGAACGAACTCACTTGAATCAGGAAAACTGTACGTCATTGGATAATAAAAATAATCCAGTGAGTTTCGAATATCATAACGTGTAATGTCCATATCATTATAATTTGTTCGATTAGTGATATGTTTGCGTATGTCATAGTTTAATGTTAATACGAACAAAAATAATAATTCCACATTAGATGATGATATGACATTATTGTAATAATGAGCATATGATGATTATTTGAATCATAACGGAATATGTCGTCGACGGTTCCATCTTTGGTTTCTGTTCGCTCGTTGCGGTCGCCAATTCTGATGCGTGTTCCAAATACATCTAACCAATATGTTCAGTGTTCGTTCGGCGAGGCATCCAATTTTGTTACGTGTTCGCATGTAGGGCTAACCAATATGTTGTGAGTTCGTACGTTGAAGTTACCAACTTTGCTTCGCGTTCGTAATTCGGGATCGCCAATATGTGTTGCGTGTTCGTACGTCGGGATTACCAATATGTAGTGTAGTGCTTCGTTAATCGATCGTCTTGATAACCGTTATTATAACAATCTGAACGGTGTATAATATCAGAAGACAAAGGGAAGCAGCAACTACATTTTTATTGATAACTAACATGGGCTAGAAGGCAGTGAGCACATTAGCAAATGTAAGCAAGCGAAGGAAAGATGACGCAGAGTGGAGATGGCTGGGAAGCCAACTCGTTATAAGCAAGCGTTAATCAACATTTATAGTCAGACTAAAATGAATGACAGATATGTGATAGGTAGGATAAGAAGGGTGCATACACATACGCTAATATAAAAAAATAGTCAAGGTCAATAAGCGAATAATTAACAAGATCAAAATATGACTCATAACGTTATAGGTGAATTGGCTTGTCCAGAAACTAGAATAAGCTATGTAGGTGTAATATAGTACACGACGTTACACTACTCCCCACAGACTCAACGCCAAAATTGAGAACGGTAGGAAATATTTCATGGCAAACACAGCAGCCAAGATACAAGGCTACTCAAAATATCTATAAACTCATGATCAAACGGACATCTACAAACCGAAGGGCCTGCGTTCTGAAAAGCCTAATAGTAAACATCCTACCAACCTAGAAATGGCACAAGTCTTTATTACAAGTTTCAATGATCAGGCAAATCAGAAACACACAAGCTCGAAACACTCTTAGACTTTTGTACGAACTGACCGAGTAGTAAAAATCCATGCGGTTCTCACGTTGGAATCAAGGAAGCGAAATAACGAGTTAAACTTAGCAAATCACCATCTCAGACAACTTTGTTACATAAGTTTAGGTCAAATGTAACAACCAAATCACCATGCTAGATTTTAGACTACACATCCCTATGATAACTTAGCCCTCCAATACTAATAGTAAACAAATATCCAGGGTGTTTAGATAGGTTAGACAGAATATTATCATTCTTGCTATTTCGTCTCTGAGTACGATCAGAATCTTAGTTTTTTATAGTTTTTTAGCTATGTTCTATGAACGAAATGTCGAATTTATTGTGAAATAACCTTAAGCGGAATGATAACAGTAGTTATCAATTATATTCGGAGTCAGTGGTGACATAGAACACAGACTAAAGCGTAGATAAATCCTGAGTATTATTTTTCAGACCATTGTTTACAACGGATGTTAGTCAAAATTTTGCAAGGACTTCAAAAATGCCCTGAAGGAGAGCTAACAGTCAAACATCAAAACCAAACCCACGAAGACAAGCATGGAAGTGATGTTGGTAGGTAAAGGAGGGAGCGCTTGTAATAATCGGTATCATGTGATATCAAATAGGATACATTTGGTGGTTTATCATCACAGTAAGTCGGCGGAATTGATAGAACATCATCACAACGCTCTCTGATGCAACAAACGTCCAGATATTATCTTACTTTTCTCATTGCCAACTGCCCCATTTCGAATGCTCTCCCTGATTTAATGGTCTCGACCCCATCAGTGAAGAGTTTGAAAAAGTCACTGAAAATGCATTTACTCACACACAGATTATCATATTCCTCTTGGACCATCTGTGTCTCGTTCATGCCTCATAATTTGACTAGTGTTGTTATTACCGCATATCAGTGATTAATTCCTATCTAGCTTATTGTCGTCTCCGCTCCCCTATTGTTCCTGCAACTCTGTTATCTCAAAATGTCTGCATTATCAATCAATTGGCTTATTCGTTTATTTGTTTGTTGAAACCATCGTCTTGTCTTAGCACTAGAATTATCCCTTCATTACTTTCATTTTGCAATCAATGAACCTCTTGCCTTGTAATCTGATCTTTGCTGATCAGACTAGTGCCTTTGGACATCACCTAATAAATGGAACCGTGCTGAAATAACTAGAATTCTCAGCAAAAAGTCAACTGTTATATACAAACATGTAAAAAAAGATATTGACGAAAATGTTGTTTAATGAGTAGTTCGTACGTAAGCACCGCTCATTATGGAACTGAAAGTTGTATAGCAACAGTTTAAGGTAGGGACAACCTATGGTTTATAATTGTTCATTGATTGAATGACCTGATTAATATCCTTCATTGAGTATTTGTGGTTTATTGCAAGCCAACTGAGCTGAGAATTCATTCATATCTAAAGGGTTTTGTCCCAACGGAGATTCCAGCTAACTGTTTGAGTTGTTCATTTTTGACAAGTCTGTAAAACGAGCATTTAAATCTCAGTGTGCCTAGATCAAAGTTAACGGCTTAAAACGTAAAGTACGTATCTGAAACTGAAGCGAAAGTCTGGTACCATGGAACGAAAACTCTGTAGGATAATATTAGTGCTGAGATTAACAATCAGCTGAACCACAAATTCAAATCACTTAAAAAATACTTTACAGGTGAATGTTTTTTGGTTATGGAATTTAGAGTGTCGAAAGTACTCAATGAATCTTCCTAGCAACCGATATACTCGTGTTTTAGGCTCCCTCCCTTTAGAGAATGGTTAAAAGTGCTGAAACTATCAGTATTGAAATTCTACCGTTAAAGAACATAAATGGTCAAGTAACTGGGATGAGTTCAGTATTCGGACATTTAAAGCATCTTGTTTCGTTAAAACAGCTTTATTATGCTCAGCTACACGAAGGAGAAAAGTCAACTGCCTTCATTGAACGTCTTCAAGTACTGGAAACATCTGGAAATTTCAGTGGTGTATAACGCTTTGAAAAACCGTAGTTCTGGCCAATCTCCAGAAAAACTTGGATGTGTTAGTTGGTAAGATAGAAATTTTGACCCTTGGGGAAGTTCCTCATAATAATAATAGATAGAGCATTATATTTTCGTTAGGAACTACTCTATTCAAGACAACTAGTAGTTCCACAGTGTATGATCTGTGGTGTCTTAGGCAAAGTTCATAAAAACGCGGAACACGGAGGCCAAAAAAATGACGGAAGCCGTCAAACGTAGATATTAGTGGCCAAAATAAAGGGAAATCAAACAGCATTGTGTCAGAGCTCGAAGGATTTATCAAATGACTAAGGGCTCAAAAGACAATCCGCGCACACCCTTAGTAAGTGTGGAACCAGGTTACCTTGGTGAGATGTTGAGAATCGACACTATCGGGACATTACGGGAAACTAACAGGGAAAATAATCATATTCTGATTACGGTTGATCACTACGAAATAGTATGAGGTGATTCACCTAGGTAGTATGAATGTTTAAACTGTCTATTGGAAATACACCTAATTTGCTATGGATAAAAAGAGATGTGAGGCCTCCAGCTGAGTTGTTGACACCAGCAATGCACCAAGAACTTTTATTAGATTCAGACACGGTGTGAATCTTCGAGAGGATATATCGACGTATCATAATATGGCTTGAGTACAGTTGGGTGTGACACAAAAGTATCAGAAAAAGTACTATGATAAGAAGACTTATGGAGTACCTTTACAATCAGAAGAAAAAGTATGGTTAAAACCAGACAACCCACCGGCTTAGGTGCTTACGAAACTACATAGAAAATGAACAGGTGAAGTTTAAAAACTTGTATTAATTTTAATTTGGTTATTTATTCTCTGAAGAAGTAGCTTGCGCTGAGCCACGAAACGTCATAAAATCTAGTTTTTCTACTCATCGTGATATTACAAATATATTATTTATTTATAACAATCTACCCGATGCTCAATTTATTCAAAAGAATCGATTCTAGTTCTAGCGAAATGAAAATTTAGTTTTTTTTAAAAAAAAATCTATCAAGTATTTTGTACAAGTTGAAGGTACATATCCAGTTTTTTCAGTAAACAACTGCATCTCCGACTAGAATATTTAGTTTAAATGTCGGGACTTTTATTTAACACTCATAAGTATCTAGATTGATCTGATAATTACTCTATTTCACATACTACATTATAAACATATCGCAACATGTTTGTGATTATTTTTCCAACTTCTGTTATACCTGCTAGTAAAGTTTCTGAATCAATAGAAAGAATTCACTTCAAATTTTTTCAACGTTATTTATAGAATATATCAACCCGGCTATCCTCTGATAAGATGGTAATGAATCCTTACAGTTAATCAGTTTTCCGTCGTATGCTTAAGCGAGCTAGCTACTTGGGCTACTATTTTCTGAAACCTAGTATTAGATATACTTGTTATTACGAATTAGTGATTCAATTATATCACAGGTAATACAGGGTCCGTTACCCTTCTTTTTCAGTTTGATTGTGTAGGAAATGTTAAGAGTCAAGCGTAGTTATGAAATTCCGTAGAGTATCAGTCACCAGACATCTTGGTTAAGTATTTCTATATATTAACTGAGTAAACACATCAATTTTTCCTTTTTTAGATTCACTCGAACTCTTTTTGTGTTTACGACCAGCTCTGTGTCTCAATGGTCACTAGTCGATTCTATTTTGTATTACTTGTTTGCATTTTGAGTGCATTTACTTCTGGTAAGCAAATCTCTGTTTTATCGTTATTTTTTAACTATAGACCAACTGGTTTTAAGTTTAGCTGAGGAGATCAGCAACAATCATTAAAACACATTTTGTTGTGGCAATTACAAATAGAATATTACTAGTAATGAATATTTAATCATCCAAAACAATAAGTTGTTCATTTTCCTTGACCATATTTGGTTATAAATGGTGAATTGTGCTTTTGACAGAAGTAGTTTATACAATAGTCCGGCAATTTCGGAAACACAAGAAAACATCTAGTTCTATCCTAAAACTTATATATTTTCCTGTATTTCTTCACTTGCTTTTGTTAGTGAAAATTTCATTATTTCGATGAAGAATCTATCAACTGAAGAGGCTGAGACTTGTTACACATGTGCAAACACTTCTTACGTCGACACTTAATATCTTCTGATGTAATAACAGTTCCTCAAAGAACCTGGAGGCTTACAAACCAAAATGTGGCATTTACCTATGAAGTTATTGACAATTTAAGTGAGCCATGCTTGTAGGCACAAGCTGTCTGGTTCGGGTTCTCATGAGTATCACAGCCAGTGCTTGAAGACTATCTAACATGACTCAGAGTCAGTCGCAATAACATAAATGCATTCATTCTTTTCTTTCCTTTAAATCTTAAGTTTCAAATTATTTTATATATTTTATTCCGCGACTTCATAGATTTTTCTCCAATTAGATTGTCGGTGCCCAATTTTTTATCACTAAAATTACTGCTTTTATCGCTTGTTTATTCATCTTGATAATTTAATCTTTTTGTTTTAACGTGATGTGATTTAGACAGATGGATACCTTTAACGGGTCCTATTTTGTTTATGAGTGTGTAACGGACTATCCAACCAGGATGTTTTTAAAACACCTCAAATGTTATACATTTTCTCTGGGTAGCCAGCTAACAGAGCATGTGCAGACATTTATAGAATATGTGACCGTTTCTTCGAAGTATGTCTTCAAGAATCCCATTATTGTATGACTTGTTATTGTATACGAGATTTAAATCATTTGGATATTGAACATGCCAGAACGTTTTTTAGGATTATAAGTAGTGGGTGCTTGAATCATAATTTGAAAATAAACTATTTCCATATTAGTTCAATTATATATAGTGTTATCACTGTTTTGATTGTATCAATTTTATTTATGTAGGATTAACATTTGGATTTTCATCAGCAACTACACTTCAAATTTATTTCAACACTATTTGGGCAGCAGTTTTTGGTAGTTTGTTAAATGTTGGTGGAGTAATTGGATCTCTGTTGTCGACGTGGCTTATTTGCCATTATGGACATCGTCGCACACTATTCCTTTCTTATAGTCTATCTATCTTGGGATGGGTGTTATTGTTTTTTTCATCGCCAGCTGTCTACGAACAATATTCACCAACTGTTCAATTTATGTTAGGACGTCTGCTAACTGGTATAGGATGTGGATTAACTTTGACTACTAATGTGATCTATGTCTATGAGATAATTCCATCGTCATCGAAAGTATTGATGGGATCATTGTTTCAAGTTGGTATAACATGCGGAATTGTTGCTGATTATACACTTGCAATTTTTTTGAACTGGGATGTTATTTCTTTGGTTTGCGCTCTGGCCGTTTCGTTTGTTGCCTTTTTAACTTACATGTTACCCGAATCTTCTGAATGGTGCGTTAAAATGGGTAATTTACAATCAGCTGAAGCATCTCATTATTGGTTGTATGGAAGTGTAAGTGATTGTTAGGTCTACAAATTTGTTTGAAATAAGTAAATTCTGTCCCAAAAAATATTATAAATACAGTGTAATGAATGATTGTATACATCCCGTAATTGACAGTATCACACTTCTGTGCAATTATTTACTTGGTTCTGTGAGGTCTATTACGTAAACCATAATGGAAAAATATTTTTGAGATGCAATTATAACCATGGTATTATTGATCAAATAGTAACTTCATTGTTGAATATCTAGTTTTCTTCGAACATCTCGTGTTGAGATACAGATAATCTAATGTTATCTTTGAAGGAAAACCTAACCACTACAATAGTCCTTGTTTCTATACCTATGCAATCCAAGGCGTATTGTCGAAAAAATCGCTTTATTGACTTATTCTTGGGTACCTGGGTATGAGCTGCACTCTAAGTGTAAGGGGGTCAGTAGTTCTCACCCAACTGCTCAAACTGGAATAGTTGGAGATAAGTACAATCAACCAATGGCAAAGTCTGAAACTGTTTCTTGAAATGTTTTCTTTATTTTCTCTCTGTCTGTTTCTGTAAAAGTATTAGCCTCCATTTAGAGTCTATTATTTTGTGTAATTTCAACTTTACCTATCATAAAACTTATTTACGCAAACGCTGGCGTAGAAATGAATAAAGTTACAGAGAACCATATGCAATTGAATCTATGAATGTATTTATCAAAGTATGTTTCGAAAAATCTTTTGGAGTTAACCTATGATCTCTGCCATTAATTATCGTATTTTCTATGCATATTTTAAAGAAGCATTATTTTAGGCCAGACAAAAATGCTTTGTTGTTATTTGAATCCTTGTTTTTATTGTGAATGATTATTTTACACGAAATTTAATAAAATAAACTTTATCATCAAGGATAAAGACGGACTTCAGTCAGTCAAGTCAGTCAGCTACAACGTAGAACCAGGCACATATATACATCGTTCCAAGTTGCCACACCTCATTGGCACAACAAGATGAACACCGAATTCACAGAAGTAGTTAATTTAATAGTGGTAATATATGAAGGAAAGATTGTATATAAGGATATAGTACAGGAAGAAAAAAGATATGAAGCAATTTTAATCTCATAGTTTGAGGGAAGATAGAGAGTGTACACACCTATGCCATTGTGATCGATTCTGAGCCATGTCACCCACAATCTCCAACCATTGGTTACGATAGTCACGCTGACCCCGACTAAGTAGTCTGTATCTACTAACATGGCTTAGACTAGAGGTTAGTGACGTTTCGGTTTGGCCGCCCCTAACTTTCTTCCAACAATCCCCAATACTAGTCAGCATAGCACGTCGTGGTAATCGGTGTTCAGGCATACGTAACACGTGACCCAACTATCTCAGTTGATGAAGATTCACAACCTCATCAACTGATTTACCATCATTCCCTAATATCATGTGTCTAACCTCACTATTACTTACCAGGTGATCCCAGCAGATGCGACCAATATTTCTAAGGCATCTGTGGTCAAATACTAGTAACCTACGAGTATCTTCTACTCTTAATGGCCATGTTTCGCAGGCGTAAAGTAGAACAGAACGAACTGCTGCGCAGTATACTCGTCCCTTAATTGATAGACGGATATCTCGCCATCGCCATAGGTGACGTAAGTTGGCAAAAGCCAAACGAGCTTTCTGAATCCGTGCTGAGATTTCGTCAGACACCAACCCATTAGGGCTGATCAGACTTCGAAGATAAGTGAAGTTGTCGACGCGTTCGACTACCTCACTTCCTATCCTTAGTTCAGGTGTTGACGCAGGCCAGTCCTGGAGTAACAATTTACATTTGGAGGGGAAGAAACGCATTCCAAATATCCTGTCATTGTTACTTAGTTCTAACAGAGGACTCTGCATTCTGCCAGCGTCTTCACCAAACAGGACTATGTCATCTGCGTATTCTAAGTCGACAAGTGGACCTCCTGGTAGGAGATCAATTCCTATTTCCAGCAATAGGTCTATAATGAAGCTAAATAAGAATGGGAATAGTGGACAGACTTGTCGGACACCACTTGAGGTTGTAAAATCAGATGACAGTTCGTCATAAGCTCTCACTCCACTGGTAGTGTTCGAGTAAATAGACTTCAAAAGGTTTATGTATTTCTGAGGTACAATCACAGACACTACCACAGAGCCTCTCGGTCTGCAGAGTCAAATGCTGACTTTAAGTCAAGCAAAACTATGATTGTCGGATGCCGATAAGCATGTCTGTGCTCTAAAACCTGACGAATAGTGAATATGTGGACGATACAGCGACGACCAGGTCTGAAGCCAGCCTGATTTTCCCGTGTTTGCAGTTCACGAGTCTTAGTTAGGCACCCGATAATTATTGAGGCTAGTATTTCAGATGCTGTATTAGTCAAATTAATCCTTCTACGGTTGTCACAGGATGATTTTGACCCCTTTTTATATATTGGGACAATCGGAGGTTGTGAGCAGTCAGACAGAATTACGTCCAACTCCCAGATTTTAGCTAAAATATTAGTCAACATAATCGCTAAAATTGGACCACCATACTTAAAGGCCTGTGGAGCCAATCCATCTGGACCAACTGCTCTTCCTCGTTCCAGATTAGCTATAGCCTTTTGAACTTCAGCTAGAGTCGGGGGATCTACTTAAAGTTCCATTCAGACTGTCTCTCCTTATGCTTAAAATTAGTGTTTGCCAAAAGTGAACGATTGTCTGAGCATAGTTGCAAAAGACGATCACCATTATCTGTTCACTGAGTTGGGATACTAAAATACCCACCTAAATGACTTTCTGTTTGGTTTAAGCTACCTAATCGGGTATTAACGTCACCTACTACGAGTACTATGTCTGAGCGCTTAACTTTATGAAGAAGTTCAGAGTGCTTTCTGTAAAAGTCATCTTTCACTTCATTCGGGCTGCACTGAGTATGCAGAAACGACGTAAGGGCAACGATCTGTGTCCATATCCTTCCGAGTTCTTACGGAGCCGTTTAGCCAAACAGCAAGTAAGCGACTGTTAACGGGGATCCACTCTAATAGTGCTTGTTCTGCCCTCGTACTTAGTGCTATGCCTACACATACAAGTCCACAAGAACTAGCTGTTATGAATTTAGAAAATAGGCTGTCTCCAATTTGTTGTGATTTTATGTCCGGCTTTTATCACGTTATTTATCCATCAGTCGGAATACGACTTTTCCAATCTTAGTACTGTGCCAAATCAATGACGTTCGACCGGTATGAGCAGTCTAGCGTCATTATTGGTCGTTTGTCCGCCTAGCACTTCCAATTGAGTCCACAACAATAATGACACCATACTTGGTTTATATATCAGACAAACAGACCGCATCACACCATAAAATAGAAAATAATATTTGTACAAGATCAAGCCAAATGTGGCTGTGAATGTGGGAGACAATAATCAATAAACTAAATATCATTTAGAGACAGTAAATCGTATAATAATAATTTATAGGTCAAAATGGAGCTTATAATAAGATGAATATATATATATATATATATATATATTAAATCTAATCACTTAATAGTTATACAATAACAACATATATAGGATAATCACCCATTAATAGGTCCCTGAAGTTACCCGTACTATGCCTTTGCTAGGATATAACACTAGCCATCGGTTCGCCAGATACAAGGAGGGTGTATCTCGTCAGCTCTCCATTTTGGCGAAGTGAGGTTAAGTGAATGACCACACTAGGATCCTGTATGTGTGTTTCGGAGACACAGCATAAATCAATGGAATGAGGTTCTAGGGTTTTAGCCAAGGAGGTTTGCTGGCTGATTTGACATGGTGCGTACGTTGGAGGCTCCAATGTGTGGTTTGAAGCGAGGTTTCAGTAGACCTACGATAGTGTTTCGCGCACCAGAATCGTTGGCTATTGTGTCACTTTAGGAGGAAGTCAAAAGAGGATGTTTACTGTTGAAAGTCGATGAAGGAGGAATAGCAGGAAGTGAAGAGGGAGATTGATTATGAATACAGTGATCTTTAGTGGTGTTAGAGGTACGAGGGCAGTTATCATTTCCCAGTTGCTCACACCGTGAGACGTTTCTACTGGAGATACCTGAAAAGGGAATTGGATTAGAAGTGGTCTTAGTGACCTGAAAGCGTGGCCACAGTACCCAACGTACAACTGCTTGAGGTCGGTCACACACAACCTTTCTGTGGGTAATTTTTGTGTTAGCTCCGTACTTGTTGGGATGTTACCGCCGGAGACGGATATCCGTGGGATATGGCGAGATGTGTATTCTTAGGGTCAACCTTTTCTAATCCTACCTCTCCTTGTGGGAAGGTAGCATCTCTGTTATGCTGGTTGTCTGCAGGAAACACCTTACTGCTTTCACACCTCTGCACAGTCAGCAGTACGACTTCGCCTTCGGACCTTGGGTCTGCTGTTTTTAGTCTTACCGCCCTTCAACCAACCTGTCTGACATGGTAGAACCTTGAGGAACGATTGTTCCAGCCATTATAGCTTCATTGTTTCATTATGATGAGCAAGCCCAACCACCACGTCAAGGTAGCAGCGACGATCGGGACCGGACTTCAGTTTATCATATAAAAAGCTATTCGGTTCTATATATATATATATAATGAAATTAAAGTATATTTATAAGCATAGTTTAGCAGTATATCTGATTTTCATTTTCATTATACACATTTAAAATGGTTTGGTCAATGTTTAAAATATCACGAAACTTCATAGTTAGTGTCAAAAATAAGAAAAAAACTGATGTCATTGTCAACTGTTTTTTTTAATTTCAATTTAGGAGATACCTTTTAAAGAAGATGGGAATAACTTGATAATCAATGGAAATGTTTCTCATGATTTATCAAATCTTAGCACAAAGTCATACACTGGTTCTTCTTATGTATTGATTGATTCAACGTCTAAGCTTCGAACGATTTTTATACTTATGACACTTCAACAGTTAACAGGGATGAATGTCATAATCTACTTTGCTGAATCGATTTGCCTTTATGGTGGGCTAGTATCATATCAATGTGGATCCAACATGGGATTGTGTCTGTTTATTTCTAGTATTGTATCAGTGTTTGTGGTCAGAAAATTCTCCTGGAAAAAATTACTACAAGTTGGTGCCGTAATCCTGGCTTTATGCCATCTGTGGTTTTCATTAACGGTATTAGTGAGTGACCAGTTTATAGAATATAACGTCGTTCTCTTTTATTTATTATTTGTGATCTTAAAGAAATCCATGTCATGGAGTAACAATGGCACTGTCAACTTAATCAGGTTGTTAGTCAACCAAGTGAATCTAATTAATTATCGTCAGAATTTTGTCCTTTCATTCTCTTTTGATACCTAAGATATTATTCCGTAAACAAGGTTCCTTAATATAAACAAACATAGAGGGTGGCTAGCAACAGAATCCAGCATGTGCGTTTCATTCTATTCGGGGCCCGTCATCTTGATCCACCTGCATCCCGGAGTTAATGTTAACTCCAGGACTCGAATTCAGTACCGTTTGCTAAACATAGTCGCGTTATCCATTTAGCTATTGATTTCAAATGGCCATTAGCTTTTGCAAGTACATCCAGCTGACGAGTCAAAAATGGGACGAAACACCTGAATTCCACTGCCTGCCACCATCCATTTTTGCTTAAAATAATTGTGGTTTAATGGCAATATCGAAGCAATTCTCAAACAACTGATCAACTTTAATCGTAAAAATCAATGGTAAGATTGAAATAACCAATACAAATGAAGTCTTCTCATTATTCATATGTAAATATACCATACTGGCGGTGTGATTTGGGAGCGAAATATACCTACTGACACATTATATCCAGTACTAATGTACCAGGATGAAAATGTTAAATATAAAGCATATTGGTCTACTTGATTTTGTTCGGCATTAGTCATACACTTTTGAGACGTTAAACAGAACATATGAAAATTCTTGGGTCGTACTTATTTTTTATTTATGTATATATGAACATATAATTTTTCATCAGACATGCTAGAAATTTTTTAATACACCTGTGGTATATGCTACTTATGTTGATGATTATAAGCAGTGTGTTGCAGTAACTGAAAGTGAAATGCTTGCCAAGAAAAGATTGAATTGAAAAGAATAGGAATGGAAACAGAGAGTAAAATGAATAATGTTTGAATTCGAAGAATCATGAAGCATGTAAAAGACAACAGAAGAAAGAAGTGCAAATAATGTATTCAATGTATGATTTTGAAATTCTCCAAAGCACTGTGTAATTTTAGTTTTCCTCACCTAAGTTTTCGTGCACTTTACATCTAACATCCCGATTTGATCCTCTGTTGGAATAAATCGATCAACAACAAGAGAGTATAATCCCTAATAACATTTGTGGATGCAAGTTTCAACTGAAATCCTTGTCGCTTGTGAGGCAGTTATTTACCGAAGAAAATGGAGGATGGTTGCGCAATATCATGGATTAGTTAAAGTTAGACTCTAACACCGTTGGATGCCGACTGAGTGGTCTAGAGGTTAAGCGTTCGCGCGCGAGTCCGAAAGTTCTGTGTTTGAGTCCCATGTGTGTGGTCAAGGGCGCTCACCACTGGAGAGTCCCATACCAGGACGAAACGGCCTCCCAATGCTCCCAGGTTTTTAATGGTGGTCCAACGTTGACCGATCCATGATCTCGATCAAAACTTAACAATCTCCACAACCCTATACTGAAATTAAGTAATCGATAAGCTTTGAGGAAGCATAACTTACATTGTTTTCTATCTTCTAATATTCTGAATTTTTTACTGGAAGTTCCTTCTCTCAATCACAGGAATCAAATTTTATGGATGTAAAAATGTACAGCGAATATCGTTAGTAATAAGTGACTTTCATGCAGAAAATAAAGATCTAGCCTAACGTTCCCATTGCTGTCCTTGAACGATATTGGCCATTAGTCACACTGTAAAAAAATGACTCTCACTTCCGATCAATTACAGTTGCTATTCCGGCGACAATAGCAGCGTTTCAAAAAGAGCCAGATGGAATTTATTGACAAGTTACATGCAAAGCTGCTAAATCACCCATGCTTTGGGGTGTGACGGAAGTTAACGAATTAATTTCTAAATTGCGCACAGAGCTGGAAATTGATTGCAGAATGAATGAATATACCGGTGAAAGCCCCAATGAATCCGTGACAAATAATAACTTAAGCGAAGCAGTAGCAGCCATAGATGATCAGCCCAGTAGTCCGGTACCGTCTGTTTCAGAGACGTGCCCTATACTTGGTTCGAATTCTATTATCCCCAAAACAGAACGTGAAAACAACGAATCGTCCAGTTCACAGAGGGAAAATATCTTGTTAAACGCCCACAAAATTGATGCGACAACCACCCATGAAGAAAAAGAAAAATCGAGCAGTACACTGAATGCAGCCACATTGATTGGAGCTCGTCATCCTACAAAGGAAATTTCTGGTGAATCTAATTGACCAGATTCTCATGTTTTGCGAGAAAATATGTCACATGCATCAAATGATAATCAAGAGCCTTGTGCAGTTTTGATGGACGCTGATTATCATAGTGACTCACCATTTACTAGCGGTTTTTCCAATAAATGTGATGACAATATTTCAGAAAAACCAAACTCTGACTTCATGTCAAATGTCGATCCTCACCATCCAGTCAGTCCTAGCAGATTCCCTATTGAATGCAGTAAAAATGTTATAGACAGAACCACATTAAACGTTACTTCGGAATATGAGAATCCAACGTTCTTTCGTGGGGGAGGATAAGTTCGGGAAATCTAAAATCCGGGTCTCAAAAAGGGGGATGTTATATCCCGTGGAGATTGGTAAATGGTAACTTTGAAAACTATCTATGGACCAATATGTAATGTACATTTCCTATTGCATGATTGATAAGTAACTCAACTATTCATATTCGTGTTCCTCTTATTTTAAGCTTTATTTTGATCTATGATCTATTATTATACGATTTACCATTCATTAGTTATCCCTAGTCCATTATTTACTGTTCCCACTATTCACAGCCACATTTGAACAAATCTTGTACAAATGTTATTGTCTATTTATGGTACGATGTGGTCAGTTTGTTCGGTATATAAACCCAGTATGTTTAAAAATAATGATTCATATTACAGAGGCAGAGATTGGTGTTCTGGACTTAACTGACTGGGCTAGGCAGAAAGCAGGACTGATAAGTACTCAAGACTGCTCATTCGGTTTTCGTTTATCATTGCTCTGATCGATAATTCACTCCTCTCTGATTGGCGGGGATCAGCACGTTCATATACTAAATAGGACACGTACTCACTCACTCGATATAACATTAACGAAATGAACTTCCTCTCTCACTCTTCATCTTTTCTCTCAAGTGATCAAGTTTGTATGTATCAGTATCGGCTGCTAGACACCGTGTCTCAAGAGCGGGAAGTTGAATTTCGCACTAACATAACAGGTTTTATGTTGCTTGTATCTGAATGACTGAGTTAAATAATATGGTCTGTTTAATCAACTTATTTGAGAATGAGGCTCTATTTATAACACAAATCTTTTTGAGTCGGAAAATTTTGACCAAGTATCTAAAGATGTATTTTCCTCATCGCAAGGTCTAGAGTTTCTAGTTTTTAAGTTGTGTACGTAAACTTCAGAGGAGCTCATTCTTTAACTACATCGAAACATTTATCTAATTATCCTTAGTTTTATTCAGATCTTCGGTTGGCGTCGATTTTTCATGACAACTTTGTTTAAACTTACCGAACGTCATCAAAATATCTCAGTAAATTATATATCTAATTTTCAAAAGGGAAACTTCAATATTAACTTCTATGAGCCAAACATTCATCTAAAACAATCATATCAATCGGTTTAGGTTGATTATTTCTGAAATTAGTGTATTTCTTCTAGACATAAATAGTCCAAATCTTAAATAACAACACCATATGATAACTTGGGAATCGTTCAATTATAAAGTACCATTTTTACGTTATTTGGAATTTTTCGGCGAGACTATAGTTTATGGACGACCTTTGAACGAAAATTAAGTGACCTTGAGAAATGTGAGCCAATCAGTAAACAGTCAGCATAGAGTAAAAATATATAATGCAAATCCAGTAGGACTGTTTTGACGTTCGTATTGAAGATTCTGACTTTGAAATTAGTTGACAGTTGTTTTGAGTTCCATACGTTCTTCAATTGTAGAAATGCCGCCCTTGCTTTGCCAATCCTCGCTTTTACATCTGCATCTCCTCCTTGTTTATCAACGATGCTTTCCAGGTACTTGAATGTTTCCACCTCTTCCAGAGTTTCGCCATCAAGTGTGATTGGGTTGGTGTTCTCCATGTTGCATTTGAGAATCTTGCTTTTTCCTTTGTGGATGTGGAGGCCTATTGATGCAGAGGCTGCTGCTACATTTGCTGTCTTCGTCTGCATTTGTTCGTGTGTATGAGAGAGGAGGGCTAGGTCATCTGCGAAGTCCAAATCATCTAATTGATTCTGAGAAGTCCATTGTATTCCGTATTTCCCTTCAGATGTCGAATTCTTCATAATCCAGTCAATCACCAGAAGGAAGAGGAATGGGGAGAGTAGACAGTCTTTTCTGACTCCGTTCCTTACTGGAAATGCATCTGTCAGCTGTTCTCCATGCACGACTTTGCACTGTAGTCCATCGTATGAGTTTTGGATAATGTTGACAGTCTTTTCAGGAACTCCATGGTGTCGAAGAAGTTTCCATAATGTTCACCTGTCCACGCTGTCAAACGCCTTCTCATAGTCAATGAAGTTGACGTATAGTGATGAGTTCCACTCAACTGATTGTTCAACGATGATCCGTAGTGTCGCAATCTGGTCTGTGCACGACCTATCCTTACGGAATCCAGCCTGTTGATCTCGAAGTTCGGCGTCTATTGCGTTTTTCATCCGATTCAGCAGCACTCTGTTGAAAACTTTTCCTGGTACTGATAACAAACTGATGCCTCTGTAGATTTCACATTTGCTCAGATCTCCTTTCTTTGGTATCTTGATGAGATATCCTTCTTTCCAGTCCATTGGCACTTGTTCCTCTTCCCAAATCTTCTTGAATAGAAGGTGAAGCACGTTTGCAGTTAATCTATCGTCTGACTTCAGTGCTTCTGCTGGTATATTGTCAGGTCCTGCCGCCTTCCCACTTTTGATTTGTCTGATGGCCATCTTGACTTCTTCGATCGTTGGTGGAGTGACATCTGTAGGATGGTCAATGTGTGCTGCTTCGATGTTCGGTGGATTCAATGGGGCTGGTCTATTCAGCAGTTCCTCGAAGTATTCTGCCCATCTTTTCCTCTGTTCTTGAATCTCAGTGATTGTCTTTCCTTCTTTGTCCTTGACTGGTCTCTCTGGTTTGCTATATCTTCCTGCCAATTTATTCGTTGTATCACATAGTTGTCTCATATTCCCTTCTCTTGCAGCTTTTTCCGCCGTCGTTGCTAGTTCTCCCATGTATTTCTGCTTGTCGGCTTTAATGCTTTTCTTCACTTCCCTGTTTGCTTCTGCGTAGTCTGCTTGTGCTTTGACTTTCTCTGCTCGTGTTCGGCTGTTTTTAATTGCTAGTTCCTTGTTCTTCCTTTCTTGAATTTTGTCCAGGGTTCCCATAGAGATTCATTCCTTGTGATGATGCTTCTTAGGACCAAGAACCTCCTGACACGTTGAAGTTAGTGCTTCTTTTATCCCTTTCCAGTTGTCCTCCAAAGTAGTTTCTTGTTCATTCTGTAGATCCTGTAGAGCTTGGAATCTGTTGTTGAGAGTTATCTTGAATTCATGGAGCTTGTCAGTATCTCGAAGGAAGGCTGTATTGAACCTTTGTAGTGCTGTTTGTCCAGTTGTTCAGTGTTTCTTTAGCTTCAGTCTCATCTTGGCCACAACCAGGTGGTGATCTGAAGCTATGTCAGCTCCTCTCCGGGTTCTCACATCGTCCATTGATCTTCGGAATTTTTTGTTGATACAGATGTGATCTATCTGGTTCTCTGGTGTGGTCCGGTGAGATCCATGTAGCTTTGTGTATGCGCTTGTGTGGGAATATTGTGCCACCAATTGTTGAATGCACATAGATTTGCAAGTCTCTCCCCATTTTCATTTCTCTCTCCTAGTCCATGTTGTCCAATTACATCTTCATATCCCGTGTTGTCCACTCCAACTTTAGCATTTAGATCTCCCATCAGGATGGTGAGGTCCTTTCGTGAGCACTTTGCTATAATTGATTGCAGCCTTTCATAGAACTGATCTTTATCATCGTCGTTGCTATCATTGGTGGGTGCATAACATTGGATAACGTTCATTGTGATCCCTTGCTTCTTTGTTCTGAATGATGCTTTGATTATCCTGGGTCCATGAGATTCCCATCCCACAAGTGCATTTCGTGCTTCTTTGGACAGCATTAGAGCAACTCCCTGAGTGTGTGGAGCATTTTCCCCTTCGTGACCGGAGTACAGCATCATCTCTCCTGTACCTAGCCTTAGTTATCCAGTTTGTGTCTAATGGGTTTCGCTAATTCCGAGTACTGCCAAGTTGTATCTCCTCATTTCCATTGCTATTTGGCTGGTCTTTCCTGTCTCCCACATTGTCCGGACGTTCCATGTACCTATAAAGAGTGTTGCTCTGGTTGTTAGAAGGTGCATCGGTCTCGTGACTTCCGAAGAATTTCGGCTTTCATCATGAAGCGTCATAATTATTTCTTCAACACCCAGGGCAGAGTTTAAATGGTTTGAATTATTTTTTTTGGTTAGCGTTTTTTAGCGAGTTAGCTTTTCTACGGGATGGGGTCGCTAACCCCATGCCCAACCCTCCTCCTTCACCCGGGCTTCGGACCGGCAGTAACTCTAGAAGAGCGACAGGCTACAGGTAGAGGAACTCATCCATACGGCTCCATAATAGTTGGTCTTTGGAGCCATGATAAGGTCACAAAAACACTCTCAGCCTCGACCACATAGCTTCATTATTGTTTGTGTGTACTTCGGTTGTGTAAGTTTATCATTTTTATTATGGTTATGTCCCTACAATACTCATACCGCGGAACAGCCGAAGCTTCAGTAACATCTGCGATTATTGCAGCCAATGGTACTGGTGCTTTTATTATACAGTTAGCGGCAATTATTATAGTATGCCTTAGTCTCAATCTGGATCGAGCAATAAAGGTTCCTATTCTAGCAAACATCTTCCTTCAACATATATTACATCACGGCAGTCTGCACAAAGTGTATAAGTCATTTAACACTCGTAATTACAAATACAAAAACTTTCATTTGTTGTAGCCGCTTAATTGTCAAGTCTTCTCTAAAATTTTCTGTGAACCGATCGTACATGAGCATCGGGTACTGAAATTGGCGCCGTGACCTTGAAATCCCTCAAACGCTTCTGATTGGCTCGTCCATAAATTATAGTCTCTCGCCACTTTTTTTTCTTAAATTTTCGTACTAATCCATGTTTCTTTATGTATACTATATACTTTACTAATGAAATAAACTTAAATTTTATTCAGTCATTTCATTTTCCTTTCCTTTTTATTCATTCATAACAGACTAGATCTTCAATGTCTTCAATGCATCAAATTTATTTAATTATATGCGCTATAACTTTTGCATGTAGTTGGGGTCCATTACCATTATTAATCACATTAGAATCATTTGGAACTGTCAATCGTAATTATGCTATTAAATCATCTTTAACAGTTGGTTGGATTGTTGGCTTTTTTGTTATATTTATATTTGAACCATTTATATCATGGACAAATGTATCCGTTCTATTTTGTATATTTTCATTGTCATGTTTATTGTCTTGTGGTTATGTTTATTTTAATATTCATGATGTGAAATTAATGAATACAACCTAATTTGCTTGCCTTTTTTATGGGTATTATTAAACTAAATGAAGTGAACATTTCACTGTAGTTTTGTTCATTTATTTATAATGGTTAACTCGGTTAACAATTATTTTGTTGACTGTACGTAAGTTTTGTTCTTGTTGAAGTCGGTGAAATTCCTTTCTTTGAAATTGAAAATTCATCAATTATTTATTGTCTCTCTCTCTCTGTCACTGGACTTTACACTTCCTACTTCTACCACTATGGGATTTGAATCGAAAACTACATCTCTGTGCTAATGTGGTATTGCAACTCCAACGGATGTACGTACGTACGAAGTTCTACGTTGTGACTGACATCTTACAACTTATCGTTGAGCTGGTTTTATTCTCTTCATCATCTACATATAAATTGGAAAGTGTATCTCATAGTATTTAATGAAGTTGTAGTAATTGGTTTTACTATCATCTTCTTCACCTTTGGTTCAGGTACAAATTCTTTTAAATCGTAAAAGATGAATTATACATATAGGGTAAATATTCATTTTTAAAATTTTCATTATGTTATCATTGAATAAATAAAAATGGATTATTAAACCATGTGTACATTGTTACAATGGGGTGTTTTCATTAGTTATTTTTATTACAAAACACTACTACTAATACTACTTAATCTCCAATTTTCAACTACATAGTAACACTTTGAATAGGAAATTAGCATCCAACTTGTAAGTTTCTAGCAAACTGAAAAGATTGTAGTGCATATACAACAAAGAGGACTGTAACTAGCCCTGATAGATCAGTCAGTTAGTCAGCCTAATAGATCAAATTCAGAATTATTCAAGAATGATAATCTGGGATTGATTGTTTCTTGAGTCAAAATTTGTAAGTTACATATCATTCCATATGACTGGTCGTTGTTGTTCCAGTCTATATTGAAGAAAACAAATTTTCCTGAAAAGAAACACTTTGAATCCTGTTATTTCAAAGCTCTTAACGTCTCTAATCCTAAAAGTATTAAACTCAAAGACGTCCAGAGAGCTTCAGGACTTATCTTAGACCATAAATGTCTTCATTGAAAAGTCATGGAACATAAACCAAATTTAGTTCAATTAACTGCTTTTTATCAGATGAAAATGTCATTCGAAGTCGGTTATCAGAAGGCGTAATGTCCCAGTGTATATCATTTAAAACATATGTCGAAAAATACACAATTTACTGATAATTTTTACCCGGAAACTAATTGTTGAATCAGAGATTACGGCGAAATGTTTGAATTGAGTGTGATAGGCATTATTCACCATGGTTGTTTGCTATACTAATTTCTATTCATAGTTATAAATATACTGCTAAGGATAAATGTTTCAGAGTATGTTTTTAAAGTAATCACTTCCTACCTCGAGACGTTTTCATAACCTTAGAGTATTTAATGTGTATAGTTTTTTGGAGAAGACTAAAGAGATGCCAAGTTTCCTCAACTCCTTGAACTGTTATGACCCAAGAATATTTGAGGTGCATTTTCTTCTCGGTACGAAGTACTACTTTAGGATTGTGTTATATCTTGTAACCTGCGTTCCCTGTTAATGTATAAAGTGTTAATACCGCCAATCAGAGGGCTGTGATTTATCTATCGAACTAATGACTCATAAAAGCTCGTGCGAGCAGTCCAGAGTAGTTATCAGTCCTGCTTTCTGCCTAGCCCAGCCATTTAAGTCCAGAACACCAATCTTAGCCTCTGTAATATGAATCATTATTCTCAAACATACTGGGTTTATATACCCTGTGACAGATCACATCGTACCATAAAATAGAAAATAACATTTATACAATGTTTAGCCAAATGCTGCTGTGGATAAGAGAGATAGTGATTGATAAACAGGAGATAATTCAAGAATGGTAAATCGTATAATAATAGTCTATAGGTCAAAATAAAACTCATAATAAGAGGGATATGAATATCCAATACTTCAACATAATATGTTAACTTCTAATTTTTTATTGTTGCACCTAAACTCTCCATGTAAAATCCTTGTAGTCATACTGTGGTGTGCCACTAGTTTCGATAGATATAAGTGGTATGCATCATCAATCGAAGGTGAAATACATGGAGGCAAAAGTTAAGAAAATCAAAGAAAAGAGAACTAGAATAGAGAATGATTGATGTGGAAACGAAGGAACAATGAAGTCTGAGACAATTGATTGACATTTTGCAAATAAAGTGTTTACTGTATGGTTCTCAGATTTTACCAAGAGATTGTGTGATTTTGAGTTCAAATACATTCGATTGTCTCCATTTGTGTTGTCGTTCACTACAATATAACCAAATGGTATCAAATATAGTCTAGGATAGAAATTATTCTCGTTCCGTTTTTTATCTTGTTCTTCGAAATCCACAGCTTAAAGTAATTAAGATGGGATGAGAAAGGGTTTTGTGGAGATTTCATAGTTGAAATCATGAGTCAATTGTAACTAGACCACCATGGAAAAAACTGGAAGCACTGGACTACCGTTTCGTCCTATTATGGGACTCCTCAGCAGTGCGCATCCACGATCTTGCCTCGCGAGATTCGAACCCAGATGGAATGATTGTTAAAAATACCATGTGTGATAGTACCTTTCATTGATGTTACTTCTAAATCAATTGATTTTCATCTTAATAGTGTTACAGTATTTCGAATGAGTAAGTGGTATTTGTTGTTCAAGTTGAATATCGTGTTTAAATAAATAATACAAGAAAGTCTTAAATATTTTATACTGTCATTCCAAGCCAATCGATTAAGTATAATAATAATAATATTAAACAAAGCCATTAATAATAATCAAGTAGATAAATAAAGATTTAGATCGACTAATGAAATTACTACACTCTCCACAAACGTAATTCTGATCATAATCATCATATGTCCGCTAGTAACTGGCTTCAAGATGATTTCCTGGAGTTCTAATGAGAAGCCGTGACCAATACAGTCTAAAACGTGTCGAGTAGAGACAGGTATCTGCCTCAGACAATAGATGAATGGTTGTGCAGCTATTCATTGATCGATGGATGTTAGACATTAACACCGTTGGACCCTGGCTCAGTGGTCTACAGGTTAAGCGTTGAAGAAAGAGAGATTAGAGGTCTTGAGTTCGAATCCTGCATGCGATATCATGGATGCGCACGACTGAGGGACCCCGTACTAAGAAGAGATGGCCTTTCAGTGCTTCTAGGTTTTCAATGGTAGTCTAGCTTACATTAACTCATGAATTTAACTATTAAAATTACTATATTCTCCACAAACCCCATTCTGATCAAAATAAAGAATTGCCATAATCGATTGAAATTTTCTAACCATAAACCAAAGACTACTTGTGTAGTGAACAAGAACGTTGGTGGGAACAATCGAAAGTATTTAGGCACAAATTACAAACTATCTTACTAAGATCTGATAGCCATACAGCAAACAGTTAATTTGCAAAATAAAAATCAATTGTCTCAATCTTCACTGTTCCTTCTGTAAATATTAGTCTATCTTCTTTAATTTCATTGTTCATGCATTTTCCTACCAATTGCGCTTCATTTCAGTTCATTCGTTATCGATCTTCTGCCAAAATACATTCTATGTCTGGCCATCGCCATATACAACTTATAAGGATATAAGTAGACCACACTTGGACCTTAGAGCATAAATAAAACCAGTTTCATTATGACAAATCGATATTTTCTTTTATGTCACTTTACTGTTTAACCATTGGCATAAATTATCAATTTGAAATACCAATACAGTTTATACATTCAGACTTTCCTAACTTTCATTCCACTTACCGAATGCTTTTCGTTTTTATTGTTGTTGTCGTCGTCGTCGAAAGAAACTGTTGTCTTCTTCTTAAGATCTCGTTTTCTGCCAATATTTAACGATATCTTTGTAATTTTATAGTTATTATCTCTATTCCAAGCTTTTGGACAATCATTTCATGACTTAATAACATTTCTATTGATTATCATAATTATTTCTATAATTTGTGTTTTTATTTTTTATTATTCTTGGTTTTATTGAGATCACAAATTCAATAAATCTGGTTTAGCTCAAGCTGATATAGTTTTTCATAACTTGATTCAATCTCTTAATTACTTCACTGATCATGCGATCATAATTAGGTATTGTTCTCTAATAGTTATTGAGCAACACGATAAAGCATAAAGGCAACATTTCGAATTACCGTCGTTAGTAAACTGTACACTTAAAAAAAAGGATTAATGGTAGGAAAAGTGCCGAGAAATGTTTCATGAAATCACTTACTAAAACGGTGCAATCATATTTATAGTTAATTAGAATACATAAGGCTCTAGTAAACTAAAGAAATACTGCATCGTATAAAAGTTGATCGGGAATATTCCCAAGTACAAAAAACATTATGCAATGGACCCAAAGTGAAAATTCATTACAAATGGAAGATAATTGTTAACTTCAGAAATATATAGATTTAATCACGGACTAATGTTAGATCACCATTGGAAACCACGAAACACTAGTCCAACTATGATCAGTAGGTAAATTAACCTATGAAAATTCACTAACCCTTACAAATCCTTAGACTGATGTTAATAAATTGTTTAAAGATGACAAAAAGTAGAGAGCAATTTATTTATTTTACCTAAAAACTGATGAGAAATTGTTGCTTTTGTTGAAATAATAAGTAGCAATTATTAAAAACAATGACAATAGACGATTTCATATAGTGATAATATATATATTCTGGAAATAATTATAGAATATATACCGGCTTATAGGTTGAGACAGGAAGCAATATTAGTTGTAATGGGCAGAGATACAAAGTCAAATAGTTTACAATGATGAGGTTCTTCTTTGATAGGGTTTTGTTCTCTGAGCTGGATGGTTTGGTTGTGGAGCTTTCATCTTCCTTCTGAAGGACAACAAAATCATCCACTTGAGCTACAAATCTTCTCCACCATAATGAGGTTAATAAGTTGTTTTGAGCGAATATTTACCGACGGGATTATAACAATGTAAGACAGCAGTTAAAAACCTTCATTTTTTGTAGAGCTTTGCATCCAAAAGAAATATGTCCAGCCACTCCTTTTATCCTGGTTTAACTTCAATGTCAACTTCTTAATAATTAATTTTCTAATGTCAACTCAGAGGACTCCTCTTTATTAAACCAAAAACTTAATGTGTGTTTTTTCTTTTCAGTCTATGCAAATATCCTATTTCGAAGCTGTTAGAATAGTCCATTTTAATGTATTTGAGATAGAGTTCTTTTTTGCTTAGATTAAATCTATAAAGTATGAATTGTGATTAAATAACACTGAGGACTAAATGTGATATTAGATTATTGGAGATGGATAATGTGATGCACTCCTTTTTATGGTTTACCAGGTTATGGAAGAACAGATGTTGTAGGGAATATTTGAATGTTTGTCATCTAATATCTTTATCAGACATTATTCCTGTGCTTATTAAACCTTAAGAGTTGGGATTAAAAGATATCAATAAGTGAATATATCTTAGTAATATTGATGGTCAAGCATTTTCCGAATAACTTATTGTTGAAATCTCATTGACTGGAGGACGAAAGTGTGAATTTTTAAAAGGCTTATCAACATTTACATGAGTCTTAACCGTCATAAAACCGATCCCCGAAAATTCTTTCCAGTTACCTCATCCAATAATTGCATTATTTCTGAATATTCACCTATCAACTGAACTGTTCACTAATTTAAAAAAAAATAAAAACTCAATGAAATCTAACTGACTTTTCTCCAATTGGAAAACATTTGGATATAATGTGATATATGTATTATATTACTTACAGTAGTTAAAAGTGTTAAAGTGAAAGTATTTTGATTTCCGAAACAATCTCCTTAGTCCCTCAGATATAACAGGCAGCATATTGTTTTTCTTCAGCGAAGGAAATTATTAACTAATTATCAGTTAAATTATGGTTACAAAAGGTCTAGAAAATAAATATTCGCTCGCGAAACCAAAGATTTTAGTTTGTACACTCCTGAGGAGTCTCATACAAGAAAGAAACAGTCATCCTGTGTTATCACATAATAACAAATCATAGTATTTAATAAAGTACTCATCACCTTAGGAAATTACAGTACTTTATCAATGATCAATAAGTAGATTAGATCGAAATATCTAAAGCAAGTTACATCAATTGAGTATAATGAAGGTAAACCGAACCATTGAAAATATGAATTACTAATTTATACAAACAATTATATACAGGAACGATTAAACAAACGTCTTTAATTTATTCCTATTTAATGTCGTACATTAACTTGGCGCCCAAATACTGTGAAACTATTCACTCTTATTTAGACGAAAGTTCTTATATATAAATCTATTCTTTCTATTAATTATGAATCCTTTAAATTTTTTGTTTGATCAGTTAATCTAAAAGTAATTGTTACCTATTTTCATTCAAATTAGTTTGATTAATATTTCTTGGTTCAGATGATTACTTATTTTGATTTCAGTTCTGTTATTAAAGTTGCCAGAGTCAAACAAGGCTGCTTACTCTGCCCCTTCCTCTTTCTTTTGGTAGTCGACGAGATTATGAGGACCTCGACATCGGAGAGGAAACAATAAATACTATAAACAACTCGGAGTAAATTAGAAGATTTGGACTTCGCAGATCACCTGGTCCTTTTATCCTATACCCACGGACAGAAGGTAGATGAAGATAACTAGTATAGCAGCAGTCTCTGCATTAGTAGGCCTAAGTATACAAAAGGTAAAAGCAAGATTCTCAAATACAACACGGAGAACACCAACCCGATCACACTTGGTGGCGAAACTCCGGAAGATGTAGAATATTTCATGTACCTAGGAAGTATTATCAATGAACAAGGAAGATCTGATACAGATGTAAAGACAAAGATTGATAAGGCCAGGACAGCATTATTACAGATGAACAACATATGGAACTCAAAACAATCACCAACATATATCAACCACACAATCTCCAACACCAACGTCAACATAGTTATTTCTATTATGCGAATCTGAAACTGAAACAACTATCACAACCATCATCAAAGTGGAACAAGTATTAATAAACAATTATCAGCGCAAGATACTCAATATCCGTCGACAAGATACCATCAGCAACAACCTATTATGGGGAGAACAATTCAACTTCCATCTGAGAAGGAAATTATGAAACAACATTAGAAGTGGATAGGACATATATATTATGGAAATCATCAATGTGCATCATGAAGCAAGTACTCACTTGGAATCGTGAATGTAGACTGAAAAGAGGAAAGCCGATGAACACACTGAATTGAGAATTGGAAGTAGATATGAAAAAGATGAATAGGAACTGGAGAGAAATGGGTAGGACAGAGTTGGATAGAGAATGTTGATGAGTGACCTATTCTCCTCCACGCAGGGTAACAGACGTAAATAAAATAAAAGCAAGTATATGATAGATAAACGACACTTAATTTATTTAAGCTGACTAATTTCATAAAAATAAATCTAGATCTTATAGCGATCCTTTTTTTAAATAAAGAGACTGTCAAAAAACATCTGAAAAAATTATACCAATCTATAAAGTTTTTTCTACTTAGTCTTAAATCGATCTCTTCAACTGAATATTTTTATTACCTACTTTAGTTTTAAATTCATTTAGTAATTTCATAGTTGAAAGCGTGAGTCAATTGAAGCTAGACCACCAGGGAAAAGCTGGAAGCACTGAACAGCCTTTCCGTCCTATTGTGGGATTCCTCAGCAGTGCGCATGCACAACCTCGCCTCGCAGGATTTGAACCCAGGTTCCAATCCAGGTTTTCCCTGGTGGTTTAGCTTCAATTGACTCACGCTTTCAACTATGAAAATACTAAATCTCCACAAAAATCCATTCATTTAGTGTTGTTTGTTTGAATCTTCCCATTGATATTTAGGACTGCAATTGCTCAGTCTTTAATTGGCATATGTGCATACTATGCGTATTGCCTCGATGTAGCCGTAATTCACAAGCATTATCTCATAGTGAACATCAACTCTGAGGTACATTTACATCCAGCTGACGAATCTTAAAAATGGGACGAAACGTACATCCTGGATTCCACTGCTACCCACTATCCATCTTTGCTTATAATTACTTTAGTTTTACCTTCAAATAAGAAACCTATAAATGATTTTTTTGGAATAAAGTAACTTTATGAATAAATAGACGGGTTAAAATGTGATCAACTAATGAAGTAAGCAAAATAATACCAAACTAGTCTGACTCATTTACAAATTAAATACTGAATTAATCTTGGTTTTTCTTTTCTTTCTTTCTTTCTTTCTTTTTCTTTTCTTTTCTTTTTTTTGGAACATCAATACAATAATTAACATAATGATGAACATCTTCGATAAACCGTAATAAATAATACTTTGATTTTTTGAATGATATATACATATACATGTTTCTTTGCTGAATCATCATCATATATACAGAGGGGAATGAAAGCGAGAAAGACAGAGGGGAGTGGGTGAGAGTTACTATGTAGGTGTCAGTAAAAATGTAAAAACAGAATATAATCTAGACTAACATAATTTTGTATTTGTATCTACTTCATGTATAAAGTCAGTATACATTTGACTAAGTTTGTGTTATGAAAAAAACAAACTGGACAGAAGAGATTTTTACGCTTTGTCGATGGTTATGATTTTTTTTTGGCATAAATTGTAGTAATTAGATGCCTAGTGAGTGATTGAGGTCACTAAATACCGAGGTTTGTATACGTAAAAAAAATGAAAGAACACATGATTTTGGTTAATCTCTCTTAATGATAAATAATTTATCAGTAATAATCAATCAACACAATGGAATAGTCGAGTTTATTTACTCTTGACTAGTTTCTGTTTTTTTTTAATATTTCTATCAGTGTTTCATTTCATGTTTAGCTATGACCTCATTTACACAATTACGTGTTAGAAACTATGCATATGTCATGTATTACAGTAACTAGATAATTTAGTTAATTGTAACCTTTGTTAGGTAACAAAATTAATATATTACATTTCAAATAAACAATACCAAGTGAATTCAAACTTCAACCCATTGC